AGAGGCTTTTTTTCTCTGGATTTGTGGTATGTGATACATTGAGGCTTGAGAAAAGCAGTCTGTGAACCATGGTAGACTTTTTTCTGGGAGTAGCGACTGCGCAGTCGTGCTTGTGGGCTCAGTGAGGAAAATGAGCCTCCTGAACTAAACACAGATGTTAATTTGAAAGAAACTGTAGTTTTGTGTACATAACAAAGTGCTTGGCAAGCTGAAGGAAAACAGCAATTTGTATTGTTATTATTATTTAATATATAAATAAAGGCCTCACTGGACTGAAATTGAATTTCAGCAGCCTTTCTGGAGGCAATTAAAAGCATTAGCTTCATCAGCCAAGGCCAGTTTTTGAATGTCTTTGAAACACACAGGCTGCCAAAGTTAATTATTCATCTTTTTCTTAATTGGATTCAGATTGAATTTAAAGGTGCAGCTTCAACAGCGTTGGCTGAGCCTTAGTTTTTCACCCCTCTCTCCTCCCTGCTCCCCCCAAAATGATTCATAAGAAGTTGTTTCACTGCTTTGCAGAAGGATTTTAGAGTTGATTTCAGCCTAGGACAGCGGCTGATTATCTCATGGTAGATCTCATTCAATTAGATAAATAGGGTACAAACCCATTGTGAGCGTCTTCATGACAGTAATCCTTTTTTGGGATGGAAATCTGACCAAAAGGGACACTAAAATATAACTTGAATTAGGATTTAGGAAAAAATACAATTGTCATGTCTTACTTTTCCACCAGTAAGCAAATAACTTCAGCTTTTAAAAATATGTACTCTATAAAAGCGTTTGCCACAAAGACCACATTCTGTGTTTTACCAGTTAATAACAATCTAATATGCAAATGGTAATTATGATATATTCTGTAGATTTCACAGCTATTTTTAAGGCTATAGAACTGTTTTTTTGGTCAAGAACTCGCCTTTTGTAAAAAAAGGTGAACTATTTTTTAGAAAAAAAATCAAAAAGTTGTTAGGACAATGAAATTGCTGCTTTCAGTGGCTGAATTTTGAAGCTGCTAGCTGGTATACAGATAAACACTTTCGGGATCAGATATGACAAACCTTGTTTCAAGTATTAGAACTCAGCTCTTCATCTGATTTGTTGCCTCTAAAGATAGACACAGTGGAATATTTTGCAGTATGTAACAAAAAAAAATCAGTTAAGTACTTCTCCAAAATATCATTTCCTCTGGACAAAGCCAAAAGTACCCACTCTGCAAAGGAGAAGACATAGGCTCAACCGACTGAGAGAGAAATACGGAGAAAAAGAGGAGGAGTGCAGTTTTCCTGTAAACCAAGGGGGCACCTGGAAGGGGGCATGCAGCAGAGCTCTCTGCTGCCCAGAGAGATGCTCCGATCTGACCTGTTGCTATTGCACGTTTCTATAGCCCTTTTAGATTTTTGATGGATTATTGTGTTATGCGATACATATGGTTGCCAGTTAATGTTATATAAGTGAGCAGGTTTCCTGATCTAGCTCCATATCAAACGATTTTTCATGTATAGTCTATTGCAAGTCTTTCAGTCACAACTGACCTTTTCCAGATACTCCAGAAATGAAAAGTACCATCCCATTATAATAATATATTTTCATCTTCCTGTGCAATATTTTTAACTGAGGAGTTAGATGTCACTCATTTTCTCATTATTAACAACGTCATAAATGAAAAATACACATTTGGAGTCTGAACTGCTATCTTTCCATGATCTCTCAGGCCATCCGGTTGTGAGTTTCCAAAATTAAAATGTTGAGCAATGTACTAACTTCTTTTATAAGTGAGAATGAGGGTAAACCAATAGAATATAATATTTCAAATGAACACAACTAATGAAACTGTCAGATTTTTTGTCCATACTATTAGTGATGCTTTCCAGGTAAAAGCTGTCACATGCAAAACAAAATGGGTGGGAATTTTATCTGGAATATGAGTTTTTGTTTTGACTGTTTGTCAAAATGGAACCTAAGAAACATTTATCTGTTATAGTATTCATGATCACTAAAACTCATGACTGCATGAACCTGTTTCCTAGCATTTCAGTTTACTGCAGAGTAAAAGAATGACCTATACAGTCAAAGAAGCAAAACTTTTAAGAAGCAAAGAATAATTTTATATGGATTGGGATAAGCGTAAGAATCAGGCTCATGAGACTACATCACAGATTGCTCAGTGTTTTATTTGATACTCTTTAATGCTATTTTCGTTAGTAATAGCGTTAGTGCACGCAATAAAAATAAAAGATGTGAAAAGTGTCTCTGGCAGGGCAGCCTGGCTCATGGCTTCCTGGGCGCCCTGCAGATAGACTCAAACTGCTTGTGCAGCAGCAGCTGAAGAAACAAATGAGACGGCTCTACTCTTGCGGCAGCCCCAACCTCTGTCTAGCATGTTCTCCCACGTGTATACTGCAAGACTGCACATGAGCCTTTACTTTTGACAGGTCATTACCAGACTGATGTGGGTATTAATTTAAGGGTATAATCCTTAGAGCTGCAGAGTATTGTCAGATTTTGGTTGTGTTTAGAAGAGTCAAGAGTAATTTCCAGTTTACAGATTTGGGGATGTATGTTATTTTAGGTTTGAATAAATGGTTTATATTTTGTTGATAATTTTTTCTTTTGCTTTATGGTTACCAGATAATGCAGCCTCCACTTGGGAGTGCTTGATTCATGTGCTGACTTTTCTTGGAGCTGTTTCTGGAGGAAGACTGCAGCTAAAACCCATAGAAAGTACCTTCTTAGATGCATACTGGTTATGATAGAAATTAGTTAGAAAAGGATGTGTATGTGATCATTATCTTCTCTTGCATGTATTTTGGGGAAAAAAACCAAAGGCCTTGTTGTTTCCCCATTTCCACGACGTGGATCTCTTCTGGGATGGCAAGTCTCCCTTCCCCTTTGCAGATCTTGTTTGCCTTCCCTAGCACAAACAGGCTGCATACAACACCGTACCCTGCAATGAGTGTGGAGCAACCGCGGCCTCTGCAACGAGCATTTTCTGGCTGCAGGAGCTGGGTGTGAAAGCATGCCTTGAACTGCTGAGAAATACTGATTCCAGAGTGACTTTCCTTTTTTTTTTCTTTTTTTTTTTTTCCTCCTTTCTTGGAGCTGAAAAAGCTTCCCCCTCCTCCTGGCTGTAGGACTGCAAGCCATCCATAGCAGGAGAAATGGATATGTATCCAAGCTATCAAGAAATAAGGTCCAAGGTTTTTGGACATGCATAGCTCTGATGAGGAAATCGCTTCTAAAGTGCCCCAATTTACCACACAGGTTATTCCTATTTCAGGAACAGTCTGTGAAGAATTGTTATACATGGCTTCTCTGGGGGATGAGGGGAGATAGGGGCTCTTTTGTAGAAATTATGTGGACCTTTTTAGCTTGTCCAACACACAGAACTCTTTGTCTCTGTAATTGATGCTATCCAAGCCAGTGAAAAGAAATGTGTCTTTGCCTGAAAGAGAAAAAATACTAAAGAGCCGCATCATATTTCCTAGGAACTGTAATACCATAGCAACAGTTGTCTTTCATTGCTGCTGCTGCGTTGCTTAATAGTTCTCCAATTGCTGTGCGCACTAGAATCTATTCTGCTATAAAATTTACTGCACATGAGTTGATACAGTTGGCAGATAATTACCATTAAAATATATATGTATGACACACATTATTATTGTCTGTATTTAAAATGATTTTTTTTTGGCCTAACTACCTGGCATTTTATTTCTCTTCTTTAAAAGGAATTTTAAATAAAGTTTGTTGGTAGAATTGGTTGGGCTTGATAATCTTTGAAATCCTTTTTTTGAGGGGGGGAAACAGTATTATTTTGGAGGGAAATAATACTAGATCCCAAACTGTGAGAAAAGATTATTTTTTATTAGTTGCATAAACTGTAAATAATTGGAAAACATACTATCCCTTTCAGTATTTTTTCAGAAGGAATAAATATTTTTAATGAGTTTTCAGCTAGAAATTTAATTTATAGTGAAAAGAAGTTGAAATAGAAACATCATATTTCTGAGTTATCAAAATGAAAACTTTCGATTGACCACAATTTTTTTCAAATGTTCAATTTATGAAAATATCAGCTGTGTCCAAATTCAAGTCAGGAGAAATGTTTGAAAATTCTTCTGAGATGAGAAAACTTTTCCCTCCTTAGCTCTTTTCTACTTATTATATACTAATACTGCCTGGCTCACTTTGTTAGGTGTGGCTTTTTGTCATTTTTTAATGAGAACTTGCATGGAAAATTAAAGCATACATTCTGAGTAATTTAGGATAAACTACACAATGTCCCACCCCTTTGAATCTATCCAGCTTTTAATATGTGCTCTCTAAAATAGTTGGCACAGTGGAGCTATGGATTAAATGTTTGTGAAAATCAAATTACTTCTACAAAAGGTGGCTGTAGGTAAAGACTGAGGCTGAGACTGGAGGTCTACACTCGCATCACTCCACTCTGTACGTGTCAGTCCAACTCCTTCAACAGGCACTGAAAACATTAAACAAAAGAAATGGGCTATAAATGGCCCATGAGTTATGGGTTATCTTAGTCTGTCAGTTCTCACTGCTGTGAAGAACTTCTGGTATTTGCGCAATGATGTAAATTATTGCAGCCTGAGAGCATTAGCAAGTGCCCTCCAAGCTGTAAAGAATCCAGTCCTGACAGTGTTGTGCAGCCCAATAAACTGTTCTATTTTGTGTTATCTAATCTCAAAGTTGACACTATCACAACAATAGAGCTAAAGCTAACTTATTTTGAGGAAACACTGATTTATGAAATACAAGAGGGAACCAAAATGACATGGGAAGCTGAATGCCCTGGCTGTTCAGTTTACGGTTCAGAGGGGACTGCTCATTTCCCATGTTAGAAACAGCAGCAAATGATCACTAACATCAGCTCATATATAAGGAGATGGAGGAGGAAACAGTATATGCATGGTGGCAGATCCATGGCTCTGTAGTGCAATAAATCAATTAATAGGTTTTTATTTTGTTTTTCTCTTTGTGTACAGCTAACAAGAGAACACCAGGTGGCCCTCTCCTCCATCACTTACATTGGCTGCGCTCTGTCCATCTTCTGCTTGACGATCACGCTGGTCACATTTGCTATATTGTCGTGAGTAATTTTAACTTAATACCTGCCGGGTGACTATTGTACAGAAAGTCTTGCAGTGCATTTCAGGCTACTGGAGTGGATCCCTTCAGGTCCTCAAAATAAAACAAAGGCTATTATTTCTAAAATCTTCCTAATTAGATTGTGTGCATATATTTGTAACGGTTGGTTATTTCTAAATTACTTTAATTTCCTGAAATGGGATGGTCTTTACATAGCAAGCTATTTCCTTGCTATGTAGAATTTTTTAGAGATTTTTAAAAATTCTCCCCATAGTGCTATAGCTCAGGAATCTTGTAAAGGGGGGCTATAAGTGGGCTTGATTCAGAGCTCAAGGCAAACACAGTATTAGCCACCCCCCACCCCCCACCCCGAGGTATATCTTTGGATTGCTTGGGGTGTAACAAGAGCAGGACTTCTTTCTGCTTTCTAACTGTCTCGTCCGTAAGGCATTGTAATAATAAGCCATGCAGGTATGCTCGTAAAGGATGGCTCAGTCAACATTAGCCGCCTTACTACTGTTTCATACAATATGTGTACAATTGCATCATCTAACCTGCATCTGTTTTCAAGTATCTTGCTGTTCTCTCTTAGGCTATTTTTCAAATGTGTTGATTTAGTAGGGTAAAGGACACTATAGGCAGTGTGAATTTCACTCCATCACTTGTGTTTAAATCCTCTACATCTCTGTGGCCTCGTGCTTGTAACACGGTAGTACCTTTGTGCACACTTTGCACTGGGAAGATTTTTGCTATGAAGCACCGAGGGTTTTTATGCAAATTCATGTTGCAGTGGTGACAACTGAGTTTGAAGCCTAGCTAGGCTTGATACAGACATTTCTGAAAAAGCTTGCACAGAGGTTTCTGTCTAAATGAAAAAGACAAAATCTGAAAAGAGGTGAAGTAACTTGCCCAGCAAATTGCCCAGCAGATTGGGAGCAGAGCAAGGAATGGAATTCTTGTCTCTTATCTCCTTGAGCACTAAACCGTGTTCTTCCTACTCAAGTTTTGATTTCTGTGCCCAAGCATGTCTTTTGGACATCCTGCTAAGAGATCAGTTTTTAGAAAAAGGGACCTGCTGAAACTCAGTAAATAGTTCCAAAAACAGTATTATTTCCAAGTCTCAAGATCTGTGTTGGTCATACTTGGATTGTGTGTCATGTGTGGCAAAATCCACTCCAAGTAAGTGCCAAAGTCTGACGATGTGGTATTGGGCCATTGGCATGTTTAGGCTAAAGGTAATGATCTGCTCTGGTTTTATCTGAGTGCAGAACTGAGGATGTTAGTGTTCAGAAAGGAAAGGACTAAAAGGAGCTTGTATTGCTTCAGCTAGACTGACAAATTCCCTGAGAAACTGGAGACAAAAAGGAGACTGGGAAGGAGAGTTTGGACCCAGCTGACAGACACAAGGTTTAGCACCCCACCTGTGCATAGGCTCATTTAAACTGCCAATTAAAAATAATTTCGTTAGGTTTTTCACTGGAGAGCTGGGCCTCATTAGACAGCTGAAGCAAAATTTTGCAATGTGGTGTTAGAGGACAGTGAAGTAAGCGGAGAGGAATCTGGCAAGTTCTGAGCTACTCTGCATACTAGCAAAGACAAGCGGTTTCCAAGAGTGTGGCCCTGGTTGCCTTCTGGGTAACAGCGCCCCAGTTTGTGACTACGTGAAGCTCTGTGTTAGAAAGCTGTTGGCATCAGGCAGCACAACCTGTCTCTTTGAATCACTTTTAGGACATCAGTACATCTTGTCTTTTCATGTTCCTCTTCACTCCATTGTAATGAGGCGCTGCTAAAACAGTGCTGAAAGAGCGAAGCTGACAGCAAGCCATCATCTGTATCATCAAGTCTGGGTCACCCTGCTCCAGAGGCCACAGATGGTGTGTCACCAGCAGTTGCAAAAGTCATCACAATCTTGTGTGATGCAAAGAAAAGATAGGAGTGTGTACTATAGTACACACCATAATTCATGGAGCTAAACAATCCAGGTCTCCTGAGATGATTAAAGTTAGCAGTAGGGGCTGGCAGACAGTAGGGGTTGAACATGAAAATCTGCTCTTACTAATTCTGTTTGTTTTTTTTTTCCCAAAGAAAAAAATAAAACTATTCAAAAGGTCCGAAATGTTCAGATAAATGTTTTTGTTTGTTTTCTACTTCCTGTTTCTGGATGAGAAAAGAAGCAAAAGGTCAGACGACTCTGAGGAAAGCACATTCTTGTCAGATTTCCAGATGGTTTTTGCAAAGCCAAGAGAGATAGGCTCGATGATGTTGTAATCAAAGTTAGGGCTCCGCCAAGATAGGCACTGCACATATCTATAAGTAGGTATAGTTTCTGTGCTCAAAAGCTGATAATAACAACGCCAAAATTGTAACCTGACTCTTCTCAGGTTCACTTATTTCTAATACAGGCAAATACCAATAAAATACTAAGAAATTCTGCGGTGCTGTGTGGGCTAGGTGCAAGGTGCAGAATGCTTTCTGTGTAGTGCAGATCTGACTTCCTCGAGAGTTCAGCACCATTCAGGCTCAAACCTTTTATTAATATTCTATCACAAGTTATTAGCGGAGCTAGTGTAATGTGCAAATCAGTCTTTCTGCTGCATTCGATACTGTGGCAGAATATGCAAGAAACTAGTTACATACAGCTCAGTCCTGGTGGAAGAAGCACTCAAAAGACATAATGATAGCCCCACCAAAGCAAATGAACAAAAACCCATCAAAATGCTTGAAGGTAAATCATAAATGTGTTAGTGCTTCTTGGAATATTGTTTTATTCATGAGTCTTTCTATCTTCTGTCAGGTCTGTCAGCACCATCCGCAACCAACGCTATCACATCCATGCCAATCTATCCTTTGCTGTCCTGGTGGCTCAGATCCTGCTCCTCATCAGTTTTCAGTTCAGCCCTGGAACAGTAAGTGCTAGAAAGAGCGACTGTTTTTTTGGCGAGGCACCTCCATGGAATGAGTGCCACATGCTGTAGGCGAGAAAGATTCTGTTGTTGGATTTCCCTTTTTAGCATGTCTAAACCAAAAATGCCATCACACAACACTGGATAAAGCCTTTTGTATGTCCAAATAGTGTTATCATAGTATCCATCCATGTTTTGCTAGCTGCAAAACTGAAAGAGATACGCTCTCCATCAAATGTAAGAAATCACTATAGTACTGGAGCACATTCCAGTTGCATGTTAAAATGGAATGACTTAACTTCTGTTATGGGCTCATGCTCTCTTTCAACCTTTTCTTATGTCAAAAACTGAATTTTATATTGGAGAAAATTGTGTGAGTTTTGTATTTAATTTAATGTTGTATGTATCTGTATTTCTGTTAGGGTTCAGTTTTGTTTTTGTTTTAGTTTTAATCCTCTACTTGCTGCTCATAAATATTTTGCTTTGTTTCACATTAAAAAGTCACCTTATCCTTGGTGGAAGGGAATGAGTTTTCTGACAAAACTTACTTCCTGTGGCGTTTTTCCCTGCTATTCTGCTTTTTCCAGAAGACCTTTGTTTTTTTCTTTTCTCACAAAGCTTTATTTGCTTGGTACAATTTTCTATTTTGCTGAACAGCACATTTGTTGATCATGATCTCTATTCCAGAAATTTAGATGAATTTTAAATATCATTCATGTTTATTTGACCCAGGTCATAATCAATGAGAAAAGGACAGCTAGCTTAGCTAGCCGGAGATGGCAGAAAGTTTTACCTCTAGCTATCGCTATCTAAGAGTTTAAGCTCAGATCCTCAGTATCATAAAACACCCATACACCTCTCTAGGCATCTAGGACCACCATTTAAGCAAATGACAAACATTGTCATATTACTCACTTGACAATTAAGTGTTATGAATGAATAGGCTTTTTCTGCCCAGTCATATAGATCTGAACCTGAAATTAGAGGCTGACTTTATGGGTCTGCTGCTACACTTGGGAATTCCTTATACAGACTATCAGGGTCTAAATCATTAGCATCATGATCTAAAACATTAGTTGGATTAGATTAAAAGGGATATGCCAAGTTAACAGCGTTCCACACTAGTGGAAAAAAAATTTGTGTCCACGGTGGTATTTAAAAATGCTATTTAAAATAACATAAGATCTATTGATGGAAAGTCCCACTTGCGAAAGGCAGAAACAAAACCTTATCTTAAAATAACGTTCCAGTGTGCTCTGCTTTTTTGATAGGACAAAACTTGGCTGCTTTGGTGATCAGCTGTTGCTCCATATTACTGTTGACAAGCAACAATAAGTTTTTAGTAATCTGTTATTCTTTTTATTTTCAGTAGAAATAAATATGAGGTTTGTACACTTTTAATTTTGGCAATAGAAAAGTTACTTAAATTTATATTCAGCTCAGATGGAATCCCTTGAGCTTCTGTTAAGTTTATAAATAATAATAATGTCTGTCTTTACATAACTGTTATCACCTGGGGATCTAAGAGCGCTTTGCAAAACTGAGTTCGTATTCTTCTACCTGTTAACATCCAGATAGGTCCTGAGTGAGTAAGAGAATGGGCTAGGGAGAAAATAATGTGGAATGGTTTAGAAAATAAAATGGGGACAGTGGAGAACAGCAACATTTACAATTGGAAGCAGAAGGTAAGGAAAACCATGCACTAAAATAATCCTTTCTAAACAGGCATAGAGCTAAAGCTCTGCTGAAAGGACATAGGCTTGAGAGCAATAAAATGTCATAAGCAGGATGTCTCATTCTCATGTTTTCCCATTTTTCAGCCAATCCAGGTTTTCAGACCAGGTTTCTATTCCAATTCAGTCAATTCTGATAAGCTGTAAAAGCCTTTTTACACCTTATCAAGGTCTGCATCACTTCCAGTCTTTTAAACTACTAAGAAATACAGGTTGTGTTTCCCATTTTCACTTGGATGTAGGTAGAGCCAATGTTCACTGGGGTCGTGTCCTAGTGCCCACCCAAATTCATAATATGCCTTGTCCGCATACACATCTGCTTGTTTAGTTAAGCAGATTTAGCTAAGCTTGTGAAATGCTCATGTAGACTTAATTGCAGCTTAATAGGGACATATTTTCATTTCTCTTAAACCTTTTCCAAACTGACTTTAGATAAATTGAAATTAATTAATCTGAAACCAGGTAGAGTATGGCAAAAGGACTTCTCAAAGTGCTTACTGTAAGTAAACCGGTGAAACATCAAACCTTAAATTAAATTGATTTATGCTTACATGTGGGCAAACTAGAATTGGGAGTATGGCTTTATTTAAATCCAGAGGAGCTGCTTCTCTAACCAGTTATCTTTTCCATACTTGATTACATCTGAGTATAAAATGCTCACGATATTTACAGCTATGAAGGCTTATTTTTTCCTATTTTAGAACTATAGCGCACAAAAAGTCATATACATTACAAATATCATGAAAATGAAGACCTATTTTAAGCCACAGGCTTGCATTCCAGAATGAAACCATTCACAGAATCCGAGGATATTTCAGCTCTACCATCTCTGTAACATCAATGATTTTATGGGCACAATACTGTAAAGCTCTTAAAGTTGAAAAGCATAATGTGCATATTATCTGCTACATTGTTATTTTTATTTTTTAATGTCTTTGGATTGGGGTGTTTGATTAGGTGACTAACCTAACTAATTAGGTTAGGTGACTAACCTTTTGTTAGTCTTGTGGCCTTACCGTCTGCATACTCAGCTCTCACTAATTTTGACACCAGTTTTAGTACCTTTGATACTTTAATTGGTTGGCTAATGATTCTTTACTACTGGAGGAGACAGTATTTACATCAGGAGGTCTAAGTTACTTAATCATTTGCTTCTGCTGAAGATAGGTCTATTTAGTATAAACATTTTATACATGCCCTGCTTGAAAGGAGGCATGGTACCAGTTTGCTTGAGGAAGAACAAGGCACTCCCAGGGATGGCATCACATAAACAAGCAGTGAGCTGGCATCACTTTCCTGCATGACTGCCTTTAGACTGTCCTTCCTTTCCCCATCTCCGTCTCTAGGGATCCTGAGTACTTAATTTTTGGTTTATTTATTTAATTTTTGGTTCCAGATAAAGCACACAGGATTTTCTGGTAATTTCAGATGTATTACTTAATCATTTGCAATTCACACTATAGCAGTTTTCCTTTTGTAGAACAGGAGTAATTTTTAACTTACTAACTACAAAACTCTAAAGTTATTTCCATGAATAGGACTTTGATATTTCTAATAAAGCCAGGAATATCTGTTTTTTACTTTTTTAGAAAAGGTTGTCCTTTATACCTAATATCAGTACTGCTAAAACAGTAGTCCTGAATGATCATGGTACCTTCCAGTGAGACAATTATTCCTGAAACCAGGTTATTTTTCTTCTAGAGACAGAAAATATCTGCAAATACATTTTCTTCCTATACTGACAAGCCTATAAGACATCTTTGCTATCCAAATGCCAGTCCAATGACTTCCCTAGAGCTTTCAGCCATAGATAGATTTGTTTCTTGAGCTAAATTCACGTTCTTAGTTATGTTTTTTTTTTCGTTTTGCTCTACACCAGAGAGTACTGTTTTTATTTAACAGAATCTCAACAGCAGTGTGCATTTAAAAAAATTAACCAGCAACATTTCTATAGGCTACTAAGGAAAAGCTAAGAGCTGAATATGTTTGTGGGAGAAAGTAAAGTATTACTTAAAACATAGGAAAATGAAAAGTGGAGTCATTTGGGGTGTTACGTAGCACTGTGTTTTGCTGGCAAAGTCAATGTGTCTACTATTTGCAGTTTTGCAGCTAGTATATTGAGCAGTTTCTCACGCTGTATTCCTGCATGGTACTCCCATGGATGTGGGAAGGGGAACTTAAAACAGTTGCAGATAGAGAAGCAAAATGAGCTACTTCTGTTTAGGTAACTACAGAAGTTCAAGACTGTGTCGGAGCATATAGGCTGCAGAGGAGGACATTTTCAGAGGGTTCTGTGTAATGCAATAACATTGCCACTCAAATTGAAAACACTATCATAAATTGGATTTAGAAAACGCATGCAAATTTACCTATCTGCTTTAAGACTGTTCTCAATGAATATAATTTTCTGAGAGGCACTGCTGAAAGACTGCTTTACTTTCTCAACAACCATTAGCATAACAGGCCCTTCTACTTGCTGGACTGATTTTTCTGTTTCCACAGACTCATGAGCAGTAGCAGTAATGAGAACTGTCTTTTTGTAAGTACTCTACTAAAAGTAGTGTGCATTGTATGATACAGAAAGGGACACCAATTTGTTTTTAATGTGTAATGTCTCAGGTTTTCAGTGCCTTTTTCTAGAAGGCAGTTCTGTCAAAATGTCCTCAAAGTAATAAGTAAGACATTAATACAGAATTAGTAGCAATTTGGCTATTGATTTTATGTAAAAATCTGCAACTCAGTATTATCCAAAATTATATGCGGACTAGCCTCCTGCTACTGCACTATGTTTTATTTTTCTGCTCTTTTATGATGTATATTGTTTGGCTAGTCAAAAAATGGAAAGTATCCATTTGACAAAACTAGCTTTATGTAAGCTTATGCTGTATTTATATTGCCTGGACTAATCTTCTTGTAGAAATCAAAACGCATTAAAATGGATTTCATGGCCTTATGATAAAATTAACCGGAAATGTTTTTTCCAGTTTTTGTCAATAAGCAAGTCTGATTTAGTTATAGCACTGAACATTTTGAAATAGTAAAACAGTTACAGATCTCACTTACATGAATTAAAACCCAACTTACTGCTTTTTAATACATGTAATCACAATGGATTTGCATTGGAATGTCCCCGCACCAGCACAGAACCAGCTGAACACAAGTGAAAAGGGACTGGAAGGCTTTGATTTTCATTATACTACCAAGTCCCAAGGTTTTAATTTTCATTACAGTAACAAGTCCCAAACCATCCACAAAAAGAATAAAATGCCAGCACACAGCACCTAAGCTTACACAACAAAGGGACCTACTAATTAACATTTGAAGACACTGTTGCAGCAAACTGGTTCCTACTGGTAATGCTACCTCAGCACACAGACTCCAACTGCAAGGGCATCTTATTGCAGGGGTGTGATTTTTCTAGGTAAAGAAAAGAAAACCCCTCCGAAAGTCTGTACGTGTCACAGAAGCAAAATGACCCCCATCAGTATGCTAGCCAATGCAAACCTGAGATATAGCTGGAACTCTTTCCAAGAAAATGTTTAAAGTGCACCTTAACTGAAAGCAAACTAAACAAGGTTATCTTGTGGTAAGATCACTGGCAATCACATCTGTTCAGTTAGTTACTGCATGATGAGTGAAACCACTTGTGGTGAGACATCCTCAAAAAGCAATTAGTGGTGAAAGGCAAATGTGCTGTGTGACTACTTGACGCATAGAAAGGATTACGTTTTCCAGTTTGCATAAGGTAGATTGATAGGAGACTTACAAAAAAATGTTATGATCTCTCTGAGGAATAATTGGTGAGCGCTATTACGACAGCTCCTGGGGAAAAGCCAGGCATCAAACCCATGCGTGCATCCTGTCATCCACAGAAGACCGTTAAGCGTTGCCTGGACCAGGTCTAAGCCTGACTCAGGAGGAATTTTTTACTTCTCACTACACTGTCTTTGTCCTGGCATTCCTCACGCTGCTGTGGCAGCATTTGTTTCACTTCAAAACATTTAATAGCTGAAATTGAAGCAGATGCTCCAGTTCACTCCAGTTCACTCCAGTTGGATTCACTTACTGGATGGTATTTTTCTGCTGCTTAAACTTTCCTAAACTTCCTTCCCTAAACTTTCCTTTTCCTATTAGTTCCTATTTCCAAAATTTCAGCAGCTCATTGTGCAACAAAAGGCTATCAAGGAGGATTCAAACTGACTAAAAAGAGAAGACTTTCAGTTCTTTGCCTTAACCACTAGAAGGCCTTCTGTCAAGTATGGCTTTGTATATAGTCTGTACATACTCCAGGCTAAGGGAAATTGAGAATTCAAGTAGGCAAGTAAAGTACATAACCAGCAAAGAGCAATTAGGACTTGAGAGCCAATTATAGCTTGCTAGAATTTTTTAAAATGGTTATATTAGTATTGATGATGGAGGGGCATATGAGGCTTTTACTGAATTTCTTACCTGGACAGAGAATTGGATACAGTAAGATTCAATTTGTGAGTTATACTATGTTTAATAAGAACAGCAAAGTAGGGAAGTCACTGGCAAAATGAAGTTAAAGATCAAATATGTTACCTTATTTGAAAATTTCCAGCTTTCCCTCAAACTTAGGTGATCTACTGACTTTCCACCTGTCCGTGTTGAAAATGTAGTTTGAACCATGCCGTTTTCCCCCCATCACAGAACAGGGAGAAAGGTATGGGACAGCACCTGTACCACCACTTCGCTGACCCTCCTGTATTTACTATACTCAGCAACAGCAAGCTGAACTTGCAGTTTCAAGTTCTTAAATTTTTTGTAGACTCCAGTAAGAGTATTGCTTATGCACAAATAAACAACCAGTTTGGCTTTCCACAGCATGTTTAGCAATGGTTTTTGTGTTTTGATTGTGACGTAGTAAGAGAATTTGTTACTCTTAAAACGCTGTAGAAAAATAAAAGTCCTCGGGTGCTCTGTTCTTTATGAATGTTTTACTCCAGTGGTTTAGTATTTAGTGTTTAAACGTAAAAATTATCACAAAAATTGAAAAACTCTACCAATATGACTGTATCACAGAGAATTAATGTATTTATTTTTGCTCTTATTTTAGGTGCCTTGCAAAGTCTTGGCCATTCTCCTTCATTTTTTCTTCCTGAGTGCTTTTGCATGGATGCTGGTGGAAGGATTTCATCTCTATAGTATGGTGATCAAAGTATTTGGGTCAGAAGAGAGCAAGCACTTGTACTACTATGGAATTGGATGGGGTAAGCATTTAGCAGCTGTTTGCTTTCAGTCTCTTCGCCATGAGACAAGGTTATATTATGGATCCTAATCACCTATTTTTTATAGCATGCATGAAACTGATCTTTGGAATAGTTTTTAAGAACGACGTGCAATGTGAATGTATTTGTCATGCCGTGATTCCTGTCTCAGAGTTGGACAGTGGTCAGAAGCAGAGGTAAAAGATTGATCTTGTGATCATAGTTTGCCTTACTGAGAGGAGGCCTGTTAGAGAAGAATATGCATAATTTTTCTGACTGTAATCAAACTTTAAAATATATAGTCCCTAAATGTAATCCCATTGCAGTAAATTCTTTGACCTTGCTACGGCCAGATCAGATCCTTGATTACAAAGTCAGTAGCAGGAGTATGGGAGGGAGGTCTCACTGCACTGATTTTTTTTTTTTGTTCTAACTCATGACACTGGCTTATTCTATCATATTCTGCAATCACCATACATACAAAATGGGCACAGTATGTCAGGAGTATCACAGGACTTCATTAGTTCATGTTTTGTGCCTTGAAATCCCTAGGCGAAAGTGGCTGCAAGGAAGCTCAGTGTCATTATCAAGAATAAAAATGTGGTCCTATGATACAGGAATATCACAGATATAGAAGAAAACCTGAGACAAAAGGAGAGATGTAAACACTGTAAACACAGTGTGTAAACACTGAGACAAAAGGAGAGATGTAAAAAGATAGCAAAGGGCTATCTTTAAAATTATGGATAATTTCAAAAATATTTTAAACCATGCATTATCTTTTCCCCCACAAATTCATGTGGAAGCTGAATGAAAACCAATTATAACAGCAATACAGACCTACTTCAGTCAAAATTGGTCCATTTAGTACCTACTGGCAAGATGTAGACCTTGGTGGTGATAATACTGTTCACTTACGTATTTCTCAACAGCTGTCTATATTTTTTCAGTATGACCTTTTTATTGCGTTCATCATTTCTCTTTCCTTTTAAAATCACTTTCTTAGCAGTCTAAGGGCCGTTTCATACCGTCCTCTGGTGAACATGATATCTGATAGATTGAGGGAACAAACTGTAGCTTAATTAATTGGAACTTTTTTCCTTTGCCCTCCGTGTTTCTCAGTGTGTTTCAAGAGTATCACATGCATTTACAACACTGTCCATTGCCTTAGAGAATATGCCAAACAAAAGAGCTGCTCTTAATTGGACATGCCGTTTTCTTGGTTACTCCTCCTGATGAGGGAAGTCCTCAGAGCTATTGTGCAGGCAGTGAACTCTCGGACCACCAATTTAGAGGTTCTCTAATTGCCTATCTGAGCTGCGATGCCCTTTAACCCCAAGTTAGTTTTACTCTTGACGGCCAAACAATGTTTCTTATTGACCAATTTCTCTAAAAAGGAAGGGTATAACATTTTCACTCAGGACTACTGAATTGCTGATGCGCAGTGAATCTTGTCAAAGAGAGCACATTTTTGAGTTCTTCCATTCATATAACTGTTTTTGTCTTCTTTTCTCTGTTCCTTGTCAAGCCATAGTCTATCTGACTCGGGCAGTTAAAAAAAATTATCTTTGATTCAGACACCCTCACTGGAAAATCGGTTAAAAAATGAACTTCACTGCACATTATCTCAGACTAATTCAGTCAGGAGAACAAGTTCAGATTAAGTTTACTTTTGAATCAGAATTTGCAGATGAGATAGAGACTCTCAGGATAGAAGCTCTGAGAAACTAGTTTGTTGGAATGGAATAATACATTATGCCACTGGCCCTAAAACGTCAATCATTGTGCCCTTTTCATGTACTTATTTAATGATTTTTCCTTCCTGTTACCTTCTTTAGTTCATAAAACTTGTGATCAGCCATTTTCGTGTTGCTATTTTATCTGTTAGAATAGGTAATGTCTACTGGCGGATTGCCATAATCGTACTGCATTTAAGTAAAATTCTATATTGCTTACAGCAAATATGTTAACCTTGCTAATTTTAATACAACCTAAGGTTAGTAAGGTGTTATTATTTCCCTAAACTGTCCAAGGAAATGGAAGGATTAATACAAATTGAAGGACAGTGTTGACTAATGACAACTAAGCAATTTACTATATAACTTTATGTCAACATTCTCTTTATTTATTTCACCTAAAAGACTTACGGAATGTGCCCTTATCCTGACTGGCTTACCACTGTTTTTTTTCTCTTGACAGATGGCCAATTCACATACCAATAGTATGCACCTTAAAGCTTCCAGGTGCTAAAAGCATTTGAAAGCTGTTTTACTGCAGTTTCAGTGCAGTAGATGTGTGTAAACGATTTTCGGCAAAACCGTTTGAGGGTGTTTTTTTTTTTTTTTAATAAAATCACTACTTAAAACAGCTAAAGGAGAGTATGTTAATCCTTTTTGTGCATACAGGCCCAAGAGTAAGCAAATCTAGACACACTGAGGATTGAAGACATACAAGCTCTGCAAATTCTTCTAAATTCGGTGCTAAATGTAGGAAAACCTGCTGGTTTTAGAGAAGTTTCATGTGAATTTTTTTAATCTAAAGCTCATCATGGAATACAAATCCAAGTGGACCAAATCAATAAAATGCACTACCAGGGATATATTTCCCCTTCAGAAATACTATGTAAAAAAACCACAGCAATTAATTAACTAGCTGACATTTTTTTCTCTAGGGCATTTGCTTACAGCAGATGCTTTGATTAACTTAATTTGCAGTTAATCATTAATCACCTTGTGTAAATAAACTCATGATTTATGTGTACCACAGTGTACCTTAACCCTTCTTTTTTTCTGGCACTTTGTGTAATGCTTATTTGTTGTAAAATGGCAGTGATCTGCATTGTGATTTAGAAGACACAAGGACGAGCCTGGCAGCTGAATGTGATGCCACTGGTACTAAATGTTGCATTTGGCCTCAGTGTACTGCAGTATGATTGCTGTCACTCGGGGGGGGGAGGGGCAGTAATTAGCACAATGAGTGCAGTTTATTGCTACATAGCCCAGTGTGATGCAATGTGATTGCTAAAAAGGGTTTTCAGTGGTATTGAGTAAAGTTCTGGAGGACAATCCCTTAGGATCAGCAGTAGCTATTGTGATTAAAATAGATTTTCATCACAAAATAAGGAGGCACCAACAGTAGAATTTTCTATATTCAGTTCTTCTAGCAGTGTTCTTGGCAAGGACTGCAGGAGAAACCTGTTGCCAAGCTCTGTTTCTTAAGTATAGCACAGGGACTGTGGGAGACATCATCCACGTAACAGTAATACAATTTTCTGTGAAAACCTTTCAAAAGCCCTTTTTAGACAAATATTTTAATTTTTGAAAGCAAGTACCAATTATCATTCCTACAATAACTTGGAAAAGTATGTTTTCTAAAATCCAGTAAACCTACCGTGTTGCTGGTAAAATAGTTTGAACTGCTTTTCTTGTTTTTTCTTTTCCTCTGTGCAGCTCAGAGTATCTGCATTTGAGTTAAATGTTGAATTTCCTTAATCATATTTGACATTATGTCATTGCTGAAAGTGTGTCTAAACATCACTGACGTGATTTAACTAGGCAACTGCATTCCAAAGTGTTTATCTCTTGATAAATATCTGCCTAACCTTCATTCGGTCAGCAGTATCACAATTCGCTGTCTGGTATGTAACTCTAATACTCATTGAGTTGGTAATGTTGCTGAATAATGACTTTTTTTAGAGACAAAAGCCACATTGCATTCACTACTTTAGTAGGTGCTTAGAACTGCCAAAGCCTGAGGAAAGCTTAAAAGGACGCCCAGATTTGTCAGTTCCTAACTTTTTCTATTGTTAGCATATTGGTATTGAATATGAATAGAAATGTTTAAATAGAAAGGTTTAATCAGAGATCAAGAGTCAGTGCTGCCTTCAGCAGCAGCGTGCGCTTGTTTTCTAATGGGTAGAATTTGGGCTTTTGTGTCACGATCATGATGAAAGTACCATAGAAAAAAGTCATATATAATCCCATAAAATTCTGGCATCTTGATAAAGTCTTGCAAGTCCTGGGGAAGAGGCTAAAAAGGCTTTGTCCTAAAATTATTTTGTCTGGCAGTTAGAATGAGAGTAAGTTAGTCTTGAATGCAGCTGTCAAAAGAAATACAAGCATTCTTGTGCTGTCCTGAGACAATAATAAATACACAGCTTCCAATGTCTAATAGAAATGGCCAGTTTTTTACAGTTTGGCTTGGCTAATTATTATGCTGACCAAACATGATAGAAAGCCGTCAAAGACAAGGGTGTCTCATGTCATGTTAGTGACAGCAGGTAACTCATTTCTTCATGCTTCACTTTTATTTGAAATGTGAATGCATTCAAATTTTGCAAGCTCGAGGTTCCTGGAATAATGACAAACCCCAGTCTTGAATTAAAAAAACCCAGACACATCATTCTTATTTAAGCAATGTACATGCATAAAAGTTTGCAGAATCTATATTAATGACAATGTGAAGCTTGAGAGAAGATTTGACAGTAGATGGGAACGAGGAACTCTTGAGTGAGTATCACAGATCTCCTAACATATACTGAGATTTCTGAGAGATACTACTCCAGTAAAATGAATTTAACAGTAATCAAAGAGACAGGTTACCAAATGTGCAGAGCTGATTGAAGTTCCTGTGTATTATCTTTAGTCCCAAGGGTGCTAAAATTACCTCAAAGCCTGCAGTTGTCAGTAATTCAAAAGAAGAACAATTTGTGGAAGGTGTTAATATCCTACCTTTAAAACTACCTTGAGATTGATTGGGGAAAAAAAATACTTTGTTGCCTTGGTGATTCAGCGTAACACACACAGATTAATGTATCAAAACTCTTCCCACCCACCTATTTGTAGGATGCTACTGCTAGTTTGTGATACTGGAGATTTTGCTGTAACATTTTGGCCTTAACCTGTTTTCCTATTTCATACAATTTCCTTTCCTTTAGCTATATATGCTTAGATTGGAGATTTCATTCTGAGCTGTCAAAAGATCTAAACTACCTTACTTGCTGTTGCTTGATGCAGTCCCAGACTTTTCCATGGATGTGGTATAAACCAGTAGAAAAAAAGAAAATCATGTGAAATTAACTTCTACAAAAGAAATGAGAGAATATACTTTTTCCCATCACGTCAAACTGATAGTTTCAAGTTTTAGAGAGAAAAATATGTGTCTAATGCTTCACCTTTTTCTATAAAGGACATATTTAGCCTTTTAGAATTAATATCTTAAAATTGTTTGCTTCAAATTGTATGCTATAGTGTTTCCATAGCCTTTCAGTTTCTTGCTACATATAGAAGACACAGAAGCTTTCAGAATACAGCATATAGATTTACAGGTATTTTCCATTTTATTTATCATCAGTGCCTGAGAAATGTAAAGCAAATGGATGAGGTGTAAAGTTTAATGGTGAAGAAGTGGAGGGATACTGATAATCTGTCTGCTATTCATTTTAGTTTCTACCCTAGTGCCTCTGTTTGGGCTCCTGTCTGAGCAAAGATTGTGCTATTGGGCTTCTTGTGCCCAAGTATTCAGAGTTTATGCCTACTCTGCAGGCTTTATTTCAATGTAGGATTCTGGAAGTAGCTTTAAACTAGCTGGCTTGGGGGCCAGAGGAACTCTAGCCGCCGCAGCACAGCGCTCGCTGTGGGATGATTTACCCTATTCGAATGTGATGCTGTATTGCGTGGGTACTACAGGGACACAGATGTCGCCGTGCCATAGCTCACCTGCCAGAATGCTGTATGAGAACATTTTCATCTGATGCTGTGCTCTGGAAAGTACAGTCTATTGCATCATAAATTTGGCGATTTGGGGTAGAGTTGGTGAGCATATTTGTAACATCTGCTAACTGAGAAAACATTCAGATACAGTAAAAAACCATAATCGTATTTCTTTCATGGATGATAAATAGTGCCAGCACAAGATTAAGATTACCTATTATGGATGTAGACTAAACTTTGCAGCTCTTATGCAACTGTTACTGACAAAGGATTAAGCAAGCCCATTTACTTTTGTGTATAATATATTATCCATATGAATTTTTTTGTTCCAGATCAAATCTTATGATGCCCTGAGGCTAAATATGTTTCTTCAACCTTTATGAAATTTACTGAATGATTGTTTCTTAGAGGAGAAAGAATCCTTTTTCACTGTAACAAAATCTTGTTGCTGCTTGCATTAACATCTACCTTTTAATATCCTGTTAATGCAAAGCAAAGACAAACACTGCACTGTACACTGCAGACCATTTTACTTTCCCTAACTTAACAGCTCTTTTTACACAGATGACTGCACTACGTTTCATCTGCGTAAGTTTTATTATCTTCCCAAGGAACTCTCTATTTAATTTTCTTCTTCACTGCTGTTTAAAATTGATAAAGAGTCATGCCAAATCCTTTGCATATCCAGCATTTGATGTGAGGGAAAAAAAAGAAAGGCAGACGAGAAGTATGAGAGTGAGTTAGGCACAGGTATTTTTGCTTCTGCGGCAGTCATTTAGGTAGAGCTTGTTTGCTGCGGGAGGCGAACTTGCATCAGAAGACAAATAGTACCAATCAGCAAAATTATGTCTCCTCATTAACTGACGATCTGGTTGGAAATATGCAGACATACCTGAGTGACTTCTAGTCTAGGTAGTTCACATATTGATGGCAGTGTGAGTTTCAGCAGATGAGCTTATGTCTGTGCTTAATTGCTCTGTTGAATAGAGTCATTCTTGATTTTGTTCACATGATTGTCCTTTCTTAACACATATAAGTGACAGGAAAACTAAAATGTTGCCTTTGCTTAGGTCTTACACAAATAACATTTCTAAGGCTTATTTATGCTGAGTTAGACAAGCATGGGAGAGCAGAGCCAAGTTCATAGGATGTTAAACCTCAACCTGCTGAATAAATTTCAAAATCTAAGACCTAAACAACACCTGCAGATGCCGCTTAACTATTGAGCATCCTTCTCATTTCTAAATATAAGCTGTTTCTAGTCACAATCATAAAAGAATCAAAATACTTTTTCCAAAAACTATAGTCCTGCCATTACAGGTGAATTTTATAGACTTTACTGAGGATGAAGCTGGTAAAAGTTAGCAGAAATTATATATTAGAGGATTGTGTAAAAACTTCATGCAAAAAACAGTAGAATTTAAAAGAAAATTGGTACTTTATTTTAAGCTATTATATATAATACTCTGCCTGGGGCCTGGTTATTAAATTCCATAAGATGATAAGAACCCAAACCTTCAGATTTTATTAAATCATACACGGATTAACAGGCAATCATTTAATATTTAAAGAGATGAGGTTTTACTATGTTCAGAAGTGCTGGCAACAAAAACCTTGCTTCTTTTCCAGCTCCTGGCTTGGAAAGCTGTGCTAAAGTGGCACAACAGGGTATCACAGTGCTACGGGCCAGAGACATGCAGCTACCACTCACAGCAGGACCGTAATTGTCTGACTTTGTGTATTTCTTATGTAATCCCAAAAAGCGTTCTTGCACCTCCCAGGATGCAGCCCAGTGGCACTGCCAAAGCCCATCTGGAAATGTAGTCTACTTTAAATGCAGAAATCTTGCAGGGCTATTACATTTTTATATTAAAATAAATCTTCTTTGGGCAACTGAGTGGGATCTTAATTTGCTTCAGTCTATTCATAACTGTCTTTCACTACTGCTTGCAATGCTCTAGACAAGTAAATGTCACCAGTTCTGACTTCTCGCCTGCTAGTCATGCACCCACATGAGAAACTCAGCTCTGTTTCCTAGATTGTTGTTTAGTTCTTGAACTAAGTGCACTTACTTGGGGAGAGTGGTTAAAATTAATGAGCCTGATATTGCACCACAGAGTATCACTTCTTGAAAAGCAAGAGATAGAAATTCTATTAAAAAAGGGGGTTAAAAAAATGGATTCTCAATGAAATTAGGACTAATTCAGTTTAACTGTTAAATTATTGTTTTATTGAAAAGTCACTGATTAGCTAATTGATTAAAACATGTTATATTACACAGCTGCAGAAGGACTCTGAGTTAGACCTAATTCTAAAATAACTTTGAGCTGTTCTGTTGTCCAAGTGCAATGTAGCTGAACTTGCAACTTGCATGGTTTACTAATATTGCCACCAACTTTGACTTTTTGCAGGCTGCCCACTGGTGATTTGCATAATTTCTGCAGCATCAGCCATAGACAGCTATGGAGAAAGTAACAAGTGAGTATGAAAATGTCTTCACTCCGGTTACAATAAGAATGAAAAACGTGGTGGGCAGGACAACTCTTGCAGATCTTTTAATAGGGCCATAGTTCAGCACCACCTCGCTGATGAGTAGGGAGATAGGCTGCATAAAACAGCAGCATTGTGCCCGCATAGCTAGGCATATTCTTAGCTCTAGATGCCTCAGGTTTGCTTTTTTCTGCTGAGGCTACATCTGTATTTATAGACTATAAGCTCCTGAGATGTTCGGTCTGTTTTTTCCCTTTGGCTACAGAGGCATAAGGGCTCCTCCAGTGACCATGAATGTGAGCACTCTGCTTACCGAACATGCAGAGTAAAGCAGAGCCTGGACCATAGCTAATGAGACGAGAATAATCTTTGATTAAAGATACTTATACTTTTATAAAGAACTTCACTGAAACATCTGAAGATTTAGAATTGATATTGTTAAAAAATTCCAGTCCAAAGTGACAAAAAAAAATTATCTGAGAATACCGTAGTGATCAGTCCTACCATAGTTTAAGCAAAAGATTTGGAACAACAGTTGTTTTTTCTGTGTGGTAAACTAGCATTTATAGTCACTGATGTAAGAAAGAAGTATGAAGTTTACATCATGTTTCCCAGCTAGACAAGCTGGAAGGAAGGAAGAAAAGTCTTAAATTATCCACTTGCTACAATGACAATGCTCACAGCAATCAAATGAAGGCCCATTGTACAGTATAGAGGAGCAACAAATAACAAATGATACATTTCCTTTCTTCCTCTCTTTCCGTCCTTAATACCATGTCAAGGTATGTCGAGGCAGATAGCTACACTGGCTCTCTTCAAGATACAAATCAGAGATCCTGCCTCAGAGTCCTGTCTTTTTGCACTCTCTTTTACTCTCTTTTTTTATTTAAGAACATTACTAATTAAATACTGTGTTTCATCTAAAATCATTCTGCTTTTTCTCTGCAGCTGCTGGCTTTCACTAGAGAATGGAGCAATCTGGGCTTTTGTGGCACCAGCATTGTTGGTAATTTTGGTAGGTAAACCTATTGCTGTTGCTGTTTTCTTGTCGCACATCTCTGTCAACCACACAACAGAACTTACTTTATGGTCTCATGTCAATTTTTGTGCCAGGCCATTGAAACTGATTGAACTACAGAGATGAATGAATTATTTTATTTATGTTCCAGTTTGTTTTACGTGATTGTGTATTCGTCTGGGCATAGTATTCATTTCACTAAGCCAAGAGAAAAGTACAACCTAAAATTCTGGTACAATCCTTTTCTGAACAAGCCTATTGGGATCATTAATAACTATGCAGAACTGACTAATCTTGGGGGTTTTAATGGTTCTGAGAAAGAGACCCAGCAAGAACAAATTCTGTTGTTGTCTTGTTTTTTGTATACACCATTAAAAGCTGAAAGGCTAATTCCATCCCACTGGTATTTGAAGCTTTAACCTGTAGAGAGCTAACTTTTCTAAATGAAAGCTGAGTGCTCTCAATCAAGATGGCAGTCAACAGAATTTGCCAGCAGATAGCAAGAATGGGTTAAAATAGCTGCATGAGTCCCACCCCCTCGAGTGAGCTGCAGGGAAGGCAGCAGGCCGCCTGCACATCTGCCCTGCTTCCCTGCAGCTGTACGTGGTGAGGAGTTCCTGCTCTTCCTTCACTTTGCAATTGAAGAGCAGGTACTGCAGTACGAAGAGCTGGCGGCAGCAAGGCTGCTGAGGTGACTTTGCTTGGGTTCAGGTGGCTGCCTCAGACACTTGTGTCACTTATAATGAATGCAGTCTTTCCAGAGGAGGGTGCAGGTTCACGACTCAGATACTGACACATAAATGTTCTACAGCAGTTTAATTATGCCTGCGCATTAAATTACAGTGACTTGTTGCTTAATCGCTTTGATTACTTAAGGAGGCAGGGTTGTTTGCAGGGATTAAGTGGGAGATTATTCCTCTACAGCACTATTTCCAATACTGTAATTGATCAGGTTATTTATGATTTTTGCTGTGGACTGTATGTCAGAGTATCAGTATCAACATGAAATAGATCCGTTGATTAGTGAAATCATACTTCCTGTAAAGCTTTACTTAGATTTTAAAGACATGAGCCCAAATCTAGACCAAAGTCTGTGCCTATTGTACCAGTTAAGGAGGTGAAGGTCAAAATGAGATCCTGATTACTTGCTTGGAGGAGCATCAGAAGGAAGCCAATGACTCTGCCTTTCACTTCCCTGGGAAGGCCAGCATTTCCATGGCAAGCACAGAGACATCCCCAGCATTCTCCACACAGAGAACCCCCCCCAGATCCTGCTCAAAAGGACTGGCTCCACAAGCCAATGAAAGGAAGGAAAGCTCTACATATAGGCAGTGCCACTAGGCCATCAGTGTTTACTACAGCATATTTCCGTAACTGTTTGGCAAGCAGGAGATGGCTGTTTGGCTGATCTTTGTGATCACAGGTGTTTTTAAGCTGCAGCTGAGTGGATACCCTAATATTGGCCTTGAAGATAGCTAAATCAGCATAGGCATGCTCATAGGCAGCCCAGCATCTCTTCCAGGCTACAAGCTCTGAAACAGTTTGCTATGCCAATGTTAAAAAAGAAAAAAGAAAAAAGAAAAAGTTGGTATATTGATGTGGCACAAAAGGTTCATTTTCATCAAATGATTAATAGCAGCACTGGAAAATCCATATGTGGTTAGGGTAGAATTTCTTTTACCTATGTGCAAGACTATAGGTATAAATAAAAAATGTTGATCTCTGGGTTAGAGTTGATTCAACAGCTCTGGACTTTGCTCCAGCAAATCTAATTTCTTGCTTGTCTGTACCTTTGACCTTCTGTATGTAATTCAATATTCAAAGATATGTAGGTATCAATGATTGGAGAACAATTAAAATAATGTAATATTCAAATGTCTTCTTCTCACATCAGCACTTGCTCTTTGGCCATTGTTTAGCCACAACAGAGGAAATGAGATGCAACCAGTAAAATCAAATCTTTCCCAGCTCCTGTCCAAAGATGGTATTAATCAAAACATGCCAGATAGTAAAGCACTCACTCGCCTGAGTGAGCACAGACTTCAACAGTTTGCATGCATAGCTGCTTGCCATAAAAGTAAGGGTTTAACTGTCTGGCGATCACTTATAATATATATCTGTACAGCTCAAGTTATATTCTTGTAGGGATACAAATATTTTGAGAAAGAGAAAGAATGAGCTCACAAGCTTGATCCACATAGAGCAATCTGTTAAATAGTCTAAACCCAGCTCTGCCCAAAATAGCAGCAAGCTGGTTGACAAATTATTCTCTCTGGGCATTGAATATGCTAGCTGAAAAATGTGTTAGTGCCTATAGGGAAATAACAAGGCTAAACACTATTTTGTGTGTGCATGTGTGCCTGAGTTCTCTAAATAGCATATTAGCCACTAGTTGCATGAACTAATGGTCTGCTTTGAAAATATGTCTTAAAAGCAGTTTTTGACTACTTTCATCCATAATTTCTCCTTGCCAAGAAAAAGGATTGTGCTGGGAAGAAAACAGGGGGATTGCTCTTTTCAACTCCCACTCCCCAGAGCCGAGGCAGACACATTCTCCTTTTGTCCTGCCACAGCCTCACAGTCAATATAGACATCATGGAGCCTTAAAACAGGATGATGTGGCAGGAGTGTGACTGGAGGGAAAAAAAAAAAACCTCAAACATACTTTTCCAGGGAGTAATTCACAGAACATCCCAGCCCTATATGGATTCCCATATCAAAGAATGCTTTTCTTGGGGTTCAAGTCAAGGGACGTGAGGAAAGAAAGTTCTCTCTAAATGTAGGTATTTTGGCTTCTAGCTGCTTCTTAAGGTTTAAAGATTACTTCCTCACCCCCCCTTCCCGGCCCCCCCACAAAAAGACCAACACTCAAACCTCGACGATGTCCTCTTAAGGCAACTTTGCAAGAAAATTGTTGCAATTAATTTGAAAACCAAATTAATCTCAGTTGAAGTTGGCCTGGGAAAACACATCTTCAAAGGAAAAACTTAGACAAAGCACCTGAATTTTTGGAACAAGATAGTAAAAACTTCTGACAGAAGGCTTTGTTTGTTGTTAGCCATCTGCTACCTTGGTGTGTTTCCATAGATATGGCAAAATTAAGGAAATTCTCCTGTGTATATGGAGCAGTGGGTATGCTAGAGACTGTGAACCAATTGAGTGTGTGTGGCAAAATACTGGGCTGTAGTGGCAAGTTTTTCCTGTTGTTTTCCCTGTAAATAGTTATTTTCGTGATGTTTTTTACAAGTTTTTCTACTAAACTGCAATTTTGTGGAGCTGAACGATTTCCGTAGCATATTGCTAACACATTTTGATGCTGTGGGGTCATCAGCTTTGTATTCAAAGTCTTCATGTGACACTCCTGGGAACTTGGGTCCCAGGCAGAGATTGCCATCACTGTCTGCAGCTGGTATATTAACCATACAGAAATAGATGCTCTTCCCTTATACCTGCCGATCACATACGATTTAGTAAGTTCTTTTGGCTTCATGGTATTTATTTATACCTTTATGAGTAACAGTGTAGAATTAGGCTCATTTTCACATGTTGAATAGCATCTTACTCTGCAAGTAGGTCCACTGATTAAAGGTGACAGCTTCTGTCCCTTATTAGATATCCCTCATCATAAGAAAAGGTGACTGAATTGGACCCATGATGTTCACAGGCCCTGAAACATAGGATTTTTTCAGAGCTTTTGAAATTGAGTACATACTTAAGTGCTGTGGTGGACTAGAGCATAGATTAATAGATCACAGGAGCTAAGCTTCTCATTTTTTCCTATTAGAAAAATTATTCTTTTACTACTTTAAATTTCTTCTTACTTAACTCACAGGAAAGCATGCAACATTATTTAGAACAAATGAACAGATTGTAAGAAATTAAAAATGAAAGATTAGTGTTAGGAAAAAGGAGAAATCTGAGATCTCTTTCACCTTTTATTTAGTATTTTTCTTGTGCATTTCCTTTCCAGTCTCAATGGTTTACTCTGACATTCAGCTCAGACTGGTGTAACACTACATGTGTTAATACTAAGTAATGTACCCAGAAATCCAAAATAACTTAATTTAGTCTGTTATTTCTCTAGTTAGTCTAGTTTAGCCAAGAGGCTTTCTGAAATCAGTCCCCTAGTTTTGAACCTCAATCTAACTTAACTGATTAGCTTTGCATGGAAATACATACTACCCAGTAATGATTACTGATGTGACCTAGCAAAGGGCTGCAGCTGCAATAACTTGCAGTGTTAGTGTGCTACTAATGATGTTGTGATAAGAATCAAATTAAATGACACCATCAGAGAGTTATGTTACAGCTCGGATTGGAAGAATCAGTTATAACTCTCTGTACTGTTGCCTGAAACTAAGTGGAGCCTAAAATAGTTTGTGGTTTTAAGGAAAGCTGGTCAATGGATTTAATTAAGGTGTTAGGCTTTACCCATTTTTTTAGTTCCTCTGTGCTGCCAAACCTTTTCCTGGCTAGGACACAACACACCAGATCAGAGGGTTTTACTCAAGGGATTTCTGCACTGTGTTAAAAAAGCAACAACTCATGAGACCTAGAGGAAATCTGAATGAAACCCCTGCAAAGAAATCAAAGTGAAAGAAAGAATTTGTCTCACTGTATTTCTATTCCAGCTATGTAAAACTCTGTAAAACAGCATAGCAGCCCTTTGAAAAGCTAGACACCTTGACATGGAGTTAAAACTGCATTTCTGCTCCTCTGTCTTCTGTGACAAAACTCCCACTGACTTGATTGCTGCATTTGTTCTGCTCTTGCAGCTAGACCTTCACAAAATCCTGCTGGGCTTGTTGGCAAAGGGGTGCAGCATTAAGTGCTACAACTGCAGATAGTTCTTGTAGGTCAGACCATGTTCTCCTTTTCATGTCTGTTCCTGTAAGTAGGATTGTATGATTAAGAAAACAAGATTTGGCTCATGCATTTTGTGTTCTTCCGTGTCCAAAAAGCTGGCCTGAAGGAATGTTGATGAGAAAAGATAATGGAAGAGGTCTTTTTTTTACCCATTAAACTCTAGTCCTGATCTGACAATTTTTAGTCAGGTAAAACTGTTGCTAGTATGAGCCAGAGCTGATTGAGTTGCTGGGATCTTTCCATGGGTTCTGGTGGGCTTGGGATGACGCCTGCAATAACGAGAACTGGCAGCTCTTGCGCATTTCACAAAGAGTGGCGAGTGCCTGGGGTTGGACCAGCAGACTTGAACCGAGTCCTGTGCATTAGGACACAGGCGCTATTGTTATTAGCTGTGTTTTTTTGAAAAGTAGATGTGGTCAGTGCCTGCAAGCAAATACATTCTAAGTTTGTGTGTAATTTCAAGGCAAAATAACTGCAACTGCTGGGCAATCTGGATTTTCAGAAAAGTAAGAAATAGGAGCTATATACAGTTCTCTTATCTAAATGTTTATCCTCCTAGATTGAATGTTGTGATATAGGTTAAAATACAACGAGTGTTTCATCAACTAAGCATTCCCCTTTTCAAATCATTGGCACAGTATTTATGTCAGATGCCAAAAAAAAAATCACTAAAGTAACAATTCAGCGGCTGTATTTTGGTTTCCCTTTTATAATGACAGTGGAAATACCTCCCTGCTTTGCTTACTGAGATACTAACAAAGGAAGACATCCATAGCTAATCTGTTTATTTAGGCTGGATGAGATTACTCTAATTTCTCAAAATACTTAAACAAAAATTTTCAAGTGGTTCAGCAAATTTAAACATAAAACTTTGGGACTTGAATGTAATGGTTCATTGCTAATTTTACAAGTACCTTGTTTTTTATTTGCAGCCAGATCACAGTGTGTCCTTCTCATCTGATAAATATGTTACTGATGCTTCCCAAAAGGGATGTAATCACACTGACTGGACAAGAGGAGGATCTCAGAGTACTCATAAACCTCCATTTTAGACAATCCAAAATATCAAAAAAATTGATTTCCAATTTCATTTCTTATATATATAATCATGAAATTAAAATTCAGCTAGAAATGCTGGAGAGTAGTGGAAACCCACCTATTTTCTGTCTCCTTTGAGGCTAGCTTGCTTATATTGTTCTGCTGACTAGATCATAGGCTTCATGTCCAGTCTGAGTGAGAATCTGTACAATTCTGAATATTCCTTTATTGGCACTTATCCTTATGTTTCATTGACATTGGTAAGACATTCTTTTGCTTGCCTACACCGGAAATTTTGTGTGAGTATTTTAAAATACATTATTTATACATATGCTCCATATTTTAAAAATGCTATACAGAAAGCAAAATCTAGTAGTGTCTGAAGAGTTAAGAATGGAAGAAAGTCCTAGGGTTAAGTGCTTGTGAGGCTGGCAGTAGTGTGCTGTTGTCTGCAGTTATCGAACAAAGAGATCATGGCATGACTGTGCCATGCTGGACTTGAACTCTTAGTGAGACATTCACAAGGAAATGTCAGAAGGGGAGACTGGTATTCTGGATAAAAACTAAATGAGGCTGCTGAAAGATAATACGCAGAGAAAGAAATGAGGGGTACAGAGAGGCCTTTCCTGCGAAAGTCCCATGGAAAGTTGGAGTGGTGAGGATGGTTGCTTGGTGGACATGCAGCAGCAATGACTGGAGAGTTTGGAGGAGGAGGAGGAGAAGAGAGAAAGAGAACAGAAAGTGTAACTTGTTTATGTTCACTGTTTGCTACTTCAGTCAACAATCATATAGTTATGTAATAGTATGTAATAGTACCATTCTGAATTTTTCTCTTTCTTTTTGTTCTCTAATTAAAGATAGGTTTGTTATTTTCTGGCTCTTAATTTCACACTAAATATCCTGCTTTGCAGCTGATATGTAACTTTGGATAGGAAGGGGGGAAATATATCTTTCACCTTCACATTCTCTCCCTCTCTCTTTTCTTTTTTCTTTAAATCCAAGGCCTTTTCACAACAAGACTGTCTTTGCCACGTCTCCTTTAGATGGTAAAGATTCCTTTCTTTCTTCACCTGTGACTTCAGAGCAAACTTTCTTTTGTTACATCTTTTTAGCGTTAGTCTTTTCAAGCTTTCCTAGATCTCTGGTGGGAATTCTTTTCATTTTATGGATGTTTTTGTCAGGCCTGACATCAAAAAAAGAGTATGGCTTTTGAAGAACGGAGTTTAAGCCTAACATGTTTGCCTTATTGCTAGTTTAAAATATATTTCGTCCTTAAGTTGCAAGCAGAGTTTGGGAAGGAACCAGAATTGTATACCATAAAGTCTAGTGAGAAAGGTGCTTTCTGAAGTATGTGCATGTATAAGCACAAAGGAGCACACACGCACATGCGTGCGCACACACACACACACACACACACACACACACACACAAACTGTTCATTGAAGTTCTTGTCTAATTTGCCAGTTGGTGGTAGATTATTATGACATTTATTTGTAGAATAAGGATCCTGAGTACTTCTTAACTGTTGCAAGAACTACACAGTGCAGGGGAGAGGGAAATCCAGCAACACTGAGGTCAAACAATCTCTCACTTGCACAGTACTTATTTTCCTGACCAAGTCTTTTTCCTTCTTCTTCAGGTCAATATTGGTATTCTTATTGCTGTGACAAGAGTTATCTCAAGAATCAGTGCAGACAACTATAAAGTCCATGGAGATGCCAATGCATTCAAGTAAGTTTTTCTCATTCAAATTGTACTGTAACAAGTTAATAATCTCAAAACCAACAATGTCTTGTCATAGAGGCAGGTATCATGGACTGATCTCAGAACTTACCCCATATGATTCCCCTTTAGAAGAAAACGCATAACGTTACAGGCAGCATATTATTCTCTTGAATGCAGCCAATGAACCTATATTTTTATGAAAGCTGAATGCTGCAGAGGATGAAGCCTGTGGTTCGGCATGAGCTAAGGTGTTTTCCTGCTTATTACAGGCTCTTGTCTTCACTGATTCACAATTTCCCTTTTTATTAATGGAGAGGTTCCTCTTCCTGCTATATTCAAAGTTAAATCTTTCAAAGTATCATCAGTCTGTACTAGGGTACTACAGCAGTTCCACGCCTTCAGAGGGTAAACCTTGTTTCTAGCTCCAAGTCAGCATAATATTTAGGCATATACTTATCTTTAAGACCCTCCTGATACTGGAAAGCACACAGACTTATGCTCGATTTAAAAACATGCTTAAATTCAAGTGTTTCTTTGTATCATGGTGCTTTGAGCCTCTTGGGATGGTGGTGTCTCTGAGTGCATATCACGTTTAAAATACTATGCCAGAAAGGTGAGAGGGGAAACGTACAGCGGGCACGTAGCTGTAGCTGAAACACACAAGGACAGTTCTGATTTCTAAAATCCATAGAATTGTATATATGTAACGGAGAAGATAATATACTGAGTTTAAAGTAAAATGCTGAATATTGCATTTTGTATCTTGTATCTTCTAAAGGTGCTTTAATCCAAATATAAAAAGGATGCTGTATATAACTCAAGTAATATATAACTTAGAAAAAAATGTGATGATGATTTGTGTTTTATGTTCCTGAGTCACAGGCTATTGTGTGATAAGGATTTGGTGTCACTGCCCTGAAATGGTGACATAAAGAATGATTTTTATGCTTGGATTACTTATATAATTTTTAAAATGCTATTAAGTTTTCAATATTGGTGACACTTTTCTAATTGAAGTTAGTTTAGTTATTGTTTATTTATCCAGCAGGAAAAGAAAAACATCAAATAAGTTTACACAAAAATCTATAAGATAATTACTTTATAGTGAAATGAAAACACTGAGAATTAAAATGACTGTTGATTCAGGTTTGGCCGAGTCCCTGTGACCTTCAGAAATACAGAAGAAATATTAAACCTTAGGAGGCAGATAACTGTATATTGTCAATGCCAATTTGTATATTCTAATAAGAGTTATGAAAACAAAGGAACAACCTCCATAAATAGAAGAAGAGCTACACGGATAGCTCTATGTACTTAGACATTTCATTACTTGTATTCTAAAGAACACTTGATTCAGTACACACTATACCCTGCATGCTGATATATAGATTATATACATTAATAAAGCCACATATGTATATATAGTAAGAAAATTTATGAGTAGTTGATATAAGAATAAGAAGTAGTGCATTTTATCAGGAGTAAATGTTCTTGGTCTAAGTAATATCAGCTCTAGATTTGGAGTGGTGGAGCGCTATATTGAAAATGTGATTTTTGTAGACACCCTGGACCAAAAGATGTTCCAAGCATTTTTTTTAAAATCGAGTTTTAGGATTTGACCTAACAGAAGCAAGGTAATGGAGAGAAGTAGTAAGTAATGGGAAGATATAGCTGAAAGCATTCAATCATGAAATTATTGGTTAAGCAGAAATATGCTTTGGTAGAGCAGCTGTACTCATAGAATTAAATTTATTCAATTAAACATAATTAAAGGTAAATAGAAGATAAACAATAGCTCTTTTTTGTGGATATTATTACAGAACTGGCATCCTCGGAAGAAATTTGAAATGAGGAGGGGATAAATAGCTGTCCAAATCAGATTTTAGAAAGTATTTATACCCTGATTCAACATAGCACTGAAGCATGGTAAATTAGTTTCATCTACAGAGGATGTCACAGAGAAAGTAACGGGCCCTACTGTTGGAAAAAAGAGAAAAATAAAGCCTTTGTAAAACTGGATTTCGTTTTCTTGTCATCAGTATTCCTTATACAGTTGAGAAGTTTATACGTCTAGTATAAACTGCTATATCATTCTGTCCGCAGTACACTTTTCCAAAAAAGACGAGAAAGAAACAAGAGAGGGTTCTGTTCCGACAGCTGTACGGGAAATGTTATTCACAGTGAAAAGTAAATGCCGCCAACCACTAAAGAATCCTAGATGTGATTAGAGCGTGTTAACACGTGAGAGTGGATGAGCCCAGCAGGATGAAACCGTGCCACAGAGCGCACAGAAACCGCACAAACGCGGCAAGCTCTGCAGTTTTCGTCAAGTCACCCTCAGCAAGGACTACAAGGCAGTTTTTGGCTCAACAAGCTCAATTTGGTTCGGGGAGAAATCACTGAAGACTGTAAAATGCTTTGTGTAGTATGAGCCCTAAATAAAGGGCCTGTCAGGCATCCGTCTACGTAGGGCAGTTCATGTGACGTTAGCTTGGGGGGAACTGGAATATATTAGGAAGAATTTATTATAAACACTTGCGAGAAGCACATCTAAATAAAAACGGCACAACGTGGTTTTGGTGAGACAAGAAAGCGCTTTGTAACTACGTTGCAGGTTTTTTGCTGCAGTAAAATGGCACGCAGGGCAGAAGGGGATTTTTTTAGGCCTATATTCATGGTTGCAGAAAGCAAAAGACTATAAAGGGAATGAGAGCCCCAAGGCAAGGAGCTAGGGAGGGGAAGTCTTCTCAATCCAATAAACTTGAGAGGGGGGAAAAAAAAAAGGGGGGGGGATTTCAGTGCTGTATTTTCAAGCTGGGCTGAAATGTAAGTGGAAAGCACAATGAAAAACACCAAGTTGTTGTCTGGAACAATTTGGATGATGATACTTAAACAGCAGGGTTTCTCAGTTTATGAACGATAACAACCCGAAAGGCGTAGCAAAACTGACTGCGCAATGACTGAAGCGCTTGTGGAAGAAGGGTAACAGAACCGGCAAGGCCAGCTCGCTTTTCCTTGGTAACTCAGGCCAACGTTTGTATCTGCATTTAGGCACCCGACTAAGAGGCCTCCACGCCTGCAGCCGAGTTCAAATAGGAACAGCAGTTGTAGATACTCCCGCCTGAAAATCTGAGCCTACCGGTTTCATAGAGTGGGCTCACCACCAGCCTCACCCCTTGCCAGGCCAGGCTTTGCTGCCAGAGGAAAAGTTTAATCAGACGGCGAAGCGCTGGCTTCCCCTTCCACGAGCAGCCCCGCGAGGGAGGCGACCGCCCCCGGCTGCCGCAGGGCAGCACCTCCCGCTCTGCTGCTCCCTCGTCCGTGGACCAAGGGGGGCTTCGACCCTGCAATTTACCTCATCTGGTTTAGACGCTTGCCTGGAAAGCGCTGATTTCTCCCCAGTGACTATAAGGAGGCCCAGACTGCCTAGCTGGTGCTGAGGTATCTGCTCTGTCCCTCTCTAAAGCTAGGGGAGATAACGCTCACCTCTGAGGCCTTTTGGTGTCAGGCTCATAACTGAGCAGAGATTAACTTAGGAGATTGCCACAAAAAGATGCGGTTCTGAGCCAGGATGATATCAGTTAGAAAAGATATTTATTGTTAGGAGGAGTGGTAGGCCTGGCGTGTATTTAGTTTCCCTAAAGATTAAGTTACTTGGCAACGCAAGTGGCTATTACCAACAAGGGCTTGTTTCTCTTGGCAACAGACAGCAATAAACTGATGTAATTATTTACAGTAATCGTTCCTGATTTTCCATATGGCAACAGGTCCTCTCGGCATGCTGACTCAAATGTGACTGCAAAATATGTACCAGAGTAAGCCAGCGCTTAGCGCTGAGTGCTACTGCCATCGGGTGCGTGCGCTGGCCAGGGAGTTTTAGAAGGCCTCCTGGAAGTAAAACGCCTCAGAAACGGCTTTAGTCAGACGTCATACATTTGTTTCAAGCTGAATTTTCTCAGCACCATTTGACTTTATTTATTGTATTGTTATATTATTTTTCGATTGCGTTTATTTCACAAAAGCTTGCACTTCGTGTTTGAAAGCAAAATTAGAAAAGGGCGTTTAAAAAAAAAATTCTTTTTTAAAAACCATAAAATGTATTAATTCACGTTCTAGCCAGTTCACATTCCCCCCAGAATAAGGAGCAGTACGTTATGGGCTGATTGACCTTTCAGGTTCAGATGCTGCTTGTCACAATGAAGATATCAGACAGCATCTTGCTGATCATTTTATTCTCGTTTTAGAGATACAGGTGTGGGTTTTTTTTTTTTGGACTAAATAATAATACCCCAAAAATAAAATATTGGATAAACTGCAGAAGCATAGAAGAGTAAAGGTTATATGGATACAATACATGAACTACAGACAAAAAATAGTTTAAGGCCCAACCAATTATTTCTTCAAATTAATTTCATGAATTAATCAGTATATGGTCAGAGATGTTAATTAATGAATAATAGACTCCTGTGACAGTCTGGATAGTAAAACATATGGTAGATGCAGGTTTTCACTGGGTGTGAAAATGGTCACTTTTTAGCATTTGAAACTTCAGTTCTTTACAAACAGTTTATTGGTAGGAACTGAGCAAGCAGTTATTAACAGCTCCCATTTATTATTTGAATTTACTTGAGAACATATGTTTTTGCCTTGTGTTCCGAGGCATATTGAAAGCAAATATATAGCACATGAGCTGTGACAGTTGTGACTGATTATATTTTTATTAGATAAGAAGCTATTGGCTCAGCAAAATAATTTTGTATATTAATTCAGATGCTGATTTCTGAGAATGTTTTGCATCCTGGGAACAGCTTTTCCACTAAAAAAAGCTTGTTTGAACGTCTTTTGTCTTTACAGAATGCTGAAGCAAATACCTTGAAACATATAAATGTGCATACACCCCATTTGTTTACACTATCCATCCTTCTTGACTGGGTCCTCGATTAGAGGTGTAATTAATTATATGGTTGTGTTTAAGTATATGAGTAGTCTCTCTTTGAGCTTAATGC